GGTGCAACTGTTCTAAGCGAATTTTTATTTATTTTGAAGGCGTTAAAATCAAGAATCACTCACTTGATAGTGTAAACACGGTAATCAAATTCTTCGAAGAAGTCCTGAAGTGCGGTCCCCAGGCACATGACCCCGGGTGCGTGTATAAGACTAAACGATTGTCTCCACTTGTGATGTTGAATAACCCACACGCTTTACTATGGAAAAATTTGATGAACATGTTGAATGGGAATATCTGCCCGTTGTGCGTATGCCCAGCAAGTTGTAAATCGACTTTCCCTGTTTTCACAACCGTCTTATACCCTAATGGCCGATGGTGAAGTAAAATGGTGTATTTTCCATCTTCAATATGAGGTTCTACACTCTCGAAAATGGTATTGAAATCTTTCACGCGCTGCACATCATCAATGCCAACAAACTGAATCTCATCATCTTTTAAGCGAATCGTCTCCACGCGATTTTTTAAATAAACGATCCCATAATACTTTAAAAGCTCGGAGACGTATTCCTCACCCGCCCATAAGTCGTGATTTCCAATGGAATAATACACGGGTATGCCACATTTTCGTAACTTGTCAAACTCATTCAAATCCATTGGCTCGACATTATGGGAGTCAATCAAATCGCCTGTGATCACTACAAAGTCGGGATTTTCCTTAATAATTTTATCGACCATTTTCACGGGTAAGGCATCAAGTCTTGAGCCGATATGAACGTCTGAGATTTGGACAAATTTGATCGGTCTCTTCACTTTGGAAGACTTCAAAAATATTCGCTCAATGGAGATATGTGTTCCTCGATAGAACCCAAGGACACACAGAAAGAGAGCAATGCCTAATATACTAAACCCTAAGACTTGATTCACCATATCGGAGAGTCTGACACTAAATAAAGTCGTCAGAACACATCTCATTAAGTCGTAAAGCACTACAAATGGCAAAGCGGACGTTGGAACCATACAAATGTCTAACACAAAAGCACTCAACACTAACAGCTCTCGACAATATAACAACTCTTCAAATACTTTGACATTAAATAACACCCAAAAAACAAAAGCAGCGCCTAAATAGATCTCCCTCGACGCAGTAGGAGTGAATGCGTGTATCAAAGTCAGTGGACGCCATATGGCATATCCAAAAACTGAGGGTATAATTATCGAAAAAAAGATGAAACCAACAGCCACCATCATTTTACCACGTTTGCCATACTTGTCCATCATCATATGATACCTCCCTGAACAACTTTTGGGGTGGTCAACGTGGTCCATCCAGAATTTGAATTGAGTGAGATTTCTGAGTAAAATGGATGTTGTTTGGAATCGTATTTTTTAATTGTTTTTTACTATATATATAGTTTTGATAATCGGGTTTTCGTCTGTTTTCCGACAAAAACAAACACGAGAATCAATTTGTGCTAACTTTTTTGATTATTAAATATGTACTATAAATATAGTTTATTATATAAGAATTTATAATACTTAAACCCCAAACCAACAAGATATAACAAATACTATAATTATAATACAAATAAACTAAAATGTATAAAATGTCTTTAAACTATCAAGAAATATAGAAAAAAAATAGAAATAATTAATTATCTCCATTTCACAAAAAAAATAACTATAATGAATAATAACAAAACCAAAAAGAATAGAAATAAGGAAACTTATCAAACAAGAGGGAGAACCCATCAAAAAGATATTTTTGAAAAGATAAAAATGGGACGAATTGATGGATAGAAAAAAAGAAAGAAAAAGGGAAAAGAGGATGAATAAACAGGACTTTGAAAATACAGAGAAAAGAAAGCATGAGAAGACGAACAAGGTCAGAGAGAAAAAAACCGGAAAGACTGGGGACAGGAACTATTGGCGGTGTCGACCGTTATAAAGGCAATGGAATTGTGCTTGGGACAAGTAAACTGTTTTCAACCGCGCTCACCGCTGCGCCGGCTGCGGAACAAATTTTAGTTCATCGCCTTTTGTATCAACGCCAAGGATCTCAAAAAGAACGATTGAATAACATTTTGTCTTTTTGTGGGTTTGAAACCGACGACCAAGCCGAGAAATGTCAAGCGTCTGCGGAGAAAAGAACTGCGGAAGAGATCAACTCCCTTTGTGCGATATTTAAGATTGAAGAAGACGAGAATAAAGTCGAGGCTTTGGTCACGTTCTTTAAAACACCAACGCGGCCTAATGGAGATGAAACGGTCGAGTTCGAAGACCAAGCGGAAGACGAAGAAGAAGAGGAAATCGATGAGGCGCAAATGGAAGAAGATGACGAAGACCAAGAACTCTATGACGAGAATGAAGACGCAGGAAAGGAGGAAGAAGACAATCAGACAAGTTCGAGTGATGACGATGACAAAGAAGAGAAAGAGGAGAGTGAAGAACCTGAAGAAGAAGAACCGGAGGAAGAAGAGAATGAAGAAGAACTTGACAACGTCTATGAAGAGAGTATTACTGAGAAGAAAAAGAAGACCAAAAAGGGGTCGAAAGAGAAAGACGACAGTAAAGCAGTTAAGAAGCCTAAAGAAGATGATGGTGAGAAGAAGAAGAACACTAAAAAGAAGACCAAAAAGGAGTAAATGATTTCGAGTTTTACCATTTGATCGTACTATTCAATAATTCATTCCCTTTTTCTCATATACTATCCCATGGTTTTGAATGTCTTATATTGCGTCTTATTCTGTTTTTTAAATCTCATGATTGAATGACAAGAAGAAATGTTGAGTTTACTATGAAGAATTGGTGAATTTCTTAAATTGATTCTTCTGCTTTTGTTCTTGTTGGTCGTCAATCTCGTTTGTTCCGAAAATCTCAGAGCATTATTTCATTTATTTGTTGACTTCTCGAGGAAAAGTGGAGCTACTTCCAACCCAACAGTTGTCATAAAACTGGGAATTAGACTTTATAATTTTTTTATATATATTGTGAATTGTAAAAAATATAAATGAAAATGGTTAAAAAAATAAACAACTAAAAAAAATAACAATTTATTGAACTAATAAATAATTAATAATTTATCAATAAACAACTAATTATACATGCCAATGAAAATCAATTTCCTAAAGTAACTTTGAGAGAAAAATGTCAATTAGAACTTGAAATTTATTTCAAAACAAAAAACTCGAAATTTACCAGACAGATGAGTCACCGCAGAAGAACGTTCATCGTCTCGTCCAACCACTTTGAAATTGAACCAACAAATTTTGTAACATCTGACAAAAAACCAACAGGCACACAGCAAGTCGCTTCTCTTGCGGTCGATAGGTCTGTCCTCCACGCAACGGTCGGGATGTTCAACATTCTTAACCAATGCAACCCCGAGCTTGATTTTTCATCTCTCTTCCAAAGGCCTATCACAACACCATCAACTCCAGTCAAAAACAACAACAAAGACAATGAAAACAACGACTTTATCATCTACTCGGAGCAACTCCTCGGCACGGGCGTCGACCCGACGTTTGTTTCTCCGTTTTTTCGTCATTTTTACGCATTAAATGTTGTGCCGTTCTGTATTTCTCATTCTCAAGTTGTCATATCTGAAAAAACAGAACGTCACAACATTTAATGCGAAAATTTTAAAGGAAGAACTTGTTGACAAATAGACAAACAACGGGAAAAATGCCAAATTCACGGTATAAAGTGTTATCTGGACTTGGACAAGGAGCCTTTGGCCAAGTCGTCAAGGCGTTTGACGAAGTGAACAACAGGGAGGTAGCTATTAAGGTGTTAAAGAATCGGCCTCCCTATATGCGACAAGGGATGCTTGAGATCGCAGTTTTGGAGTTGATAAACTCACGGTTTGATGTGGACTGTTCGGGACACACGTTACGTCTCTTTGACCATTTTGTGTTTTATAACCACATCTGCATAGTAACTGAGTTACTTGGGATGAATTTGTTTGAACTCCTGAAACAACAACAATGCAAAGGACTTAAGCTGAGGCTCGCCGTTTTGATACTTAAGCAGGTTGGCGAGAGTTTAGACGTGTTGTATAACAACAACATCGCCCACTGTGACTTGAAGCCAGAAAATATCCTGTTAGTTGATAACACAACAAACATTCGGTTGATAGATTTTGGCAGTTCGTGCTTTGAGAACTCAACGCTATACACATACATACAATCGAGACACTATAGATCCCCAGAAGTGATATTAGGAATTAAGTACAACTCAGCCATTGACATGTGGAGCTTTGGGTGTATTGCTGCCGAGTTGATTCTTGGCATTCCGATATTCCCCGGAAGTTCCGAATATAACCAATTGGAACGGATTATAAAAATGCTTGGAATGCCTCCGCGGAATGTCTTGGAACAAGGGACCAACACGCGGAAATATTTCAAAATGGAAGTGAATGGATGGGTCTTCAAAAGTAGAGACGAGTTTGAGTTTGAAAATAAATGTAAGTTGGAGCCATTTAAACAATTTCACCACTATAAAAGTCTGGAACACTTTACCGAGAGGCTCTCGTTGACAATAAAATCACCACAAAACTTGAAGTTGGCGAGGGTGTCTTACCTAGACTTTTTGAATCGAACGCTTTGTTGGGATCCTGAAATTCGATTGACGCCAGGACAAGCTCTGAAACACCCTTTTTTGCAAAACCGAATTTTACCACAAATGTATCAACCGCCTTCGCCAGTACCACCATGCAGAAACTTCCCAGGAGATTCAGCTTTAAGCGCGGACGATGCGTTAAAAATTGTGTGTCCACCGAGTGTGATGCCATCGAAATTCAAATATCAAACTTACACGTGCAACGCCTATTATTCAGTTTTTACTTCGGCACTTGACAAAGGAATTGTGCTGAATATTTTGAATCCAAATCCGTTCACACTCCAACCAATGACACCTCCAGTTCTGGCGTGGGAAGAAGCACAGAGGAGGAAACGGGAGAAAGAACGAAAGAGGCGTGACGGTGCTAAGAAAAAAGATCGGAAAGACCGAAATGAGACGTTTGATGGGAGGAAATTTGAGGGAGGACAGTCGATTGGTGGGAATAGCCTTAAGAGTGGTGACTCGTTTATTTTCTCTCCTGGGTCGAGACAGGATTCATACAAAAGCCCTGCGCAGTCATGGAGTAAATACCACCCGATGGTGATGCCCAAAGATAATTAACTTTTTCATTCAATTGCATCGACCCATTAATTAAATTTAGAGTATTATTTACCAATTTATTTACGCACTAAAATGATCTTATACTTGCTCTTTTTATAATCTCATAGAGAGTATAAATAAATTTTATTTGATTGTTGAAATAGTTAATTATTGTTTTTTTTAATTAAAAATAAAAAATGTTCGTTTTTTATTTTTAAAAGAAATGAACCCCATAATTATTTCAAAAAATACTTTCTAGTGTATAATAATTGTCTTAATACTACAAATGTATTGTGATGAGATATGTCCTGCTTCTGATGGTTTTTCGAGCCTTGGATTATCAATTGAAGAAGTCTACCAGACCCTGTCTGAATACACTTTTTTGGTAAAAGAAAGATAGAGCACAATGGATAAAAAAATCGTAATTATTATAAAAAAAATTTGTGTTAAAAAAACAACGAACTTTTTCTTCTTCAAAATAAAACATATGGAAGTTGAGCCAACACAGGAGATTTATTATGAAGTTGAAAATCGTCGTTTTAAGAAAGAAGGTAACACGGATGCGGATAATTTGGGACATGGTGCGTATGGGTCTGTCACGCGCCGAATAGACTTACAAACAAAACAACGAGTTGCGGTGAAACGATTTGACTTAGGACAAAAAGACAAACAGATAACGGAGTCGTTTGAAGAGTTTCCTTTAGAAATCTTACGTGAGATCAAAGTGTTGCGGGAGCTTCAGCACGACAACATAGTCCCCGTTGTCGACTTCTATTTCCATCGAAATGAATTGTTTATGGTGATGGAGTATGAGCCAAGTGATTTACAGCAAGAGATTCATGACAAGACCGAGTTAAAAAATGACCCGCAGCGAATACAAAAGTATTTACATATGATTCTGTCTGGTGTGGGTTATCTCCATGCCAATTTCTTACTTCACCGGGTTTGTTCTATTACCTTATGATATACAATTAAGCCACTAATATATAGGATTTGAAGCCAGCAAATATATTGGTTTCAAACAACGATATCTTGAAAATAGCAGATTTTGGATCGGTGAGGCCATTTGGAAGTAGTTACGACCAATTCACAAAAGGTGTTATAACCCCATACTATAGACCACCAGAAGTTTACTTTGAAGCACCTATATATGGCCCAGCAGTCGATGTCTGGAGCATCGGGTGTATCTTCGCCGAAATGTGTAGTGGACAGATCCTCTTTTGTGATGAACGGTCGATAGTCTCTTCGATGTATCAAATATTGGGAACACCAAACAGTGGACCTTCGACGAAATGGGAGGGCGTCGATAAGATGAAAGGGTATAATAAGCCTCTCCAAGAGATATCAATATCGTCCCTTCATAGATACGTCAACATCGAAGGCGCTGGCTTTGATTTACTCCAGAAGATGTTACGGTATGACCCCAATAGAAGGGTTTCGTGTGAGAAAGCGCTGAGCCACCAATATTTCAGTGATATGATCCAGTTTGATTGAGTAGATGCTCCATTCTATTTTCAGCATCTCTGAACCATAAATTTATAGTAAATAATTAATAAGATATAGTATTTTATTACTCTAGTAGATTCAAAAGAAAAGAGCTATTAAAAAATGAGTCGATTAAGAAAACTTTTATAAGCCAACGGCCGTCTTGATCTTCTGTACTATTTCCTTGGTCTTCTGGTTTTTGACTGAAGCCTCGAGTGTGTCGAGTAAAGCGGGAAGCTTTTCTTTAACGGTTTTCTTATTGTCTTGACTCTTGTTGCAAGCGGCGGCTATGAAGTTGACGATCTTTTCCAAGACGGTTTCGTCTTCCTTATACAATTTGCTAATGTCGACACATAACTCGAAGACGCCAGCAGCGTCTACAGTTGTTTTTATCACTTCGTCGATCGACATGTTTCCAAGCGCAGACCACCCGGAGACGACAATTTGTTTGACGGCTTTGAATGAAGAAATACTCTTTGCTGCGATTGCGACGACTCCATACTTTCTTAAAGCTTCTCTAGTCTCTTTGTTCGAACATAAGTTGATTAAAGCATTCAACCCAAACATAACGGCTTTCTCAGTCTTTTTAGCGGAGATGACGGCGATGATATCATCGACATATGTAATCAAGTCGGGATGAACGTCTTGACTCTTCGCACAATTGGCGACTAATCCACAGAAATTCTCGGAACACGCAGCTGACAGTTTCACAGTCTGCGCAGCAGAACTTAAGACACGCGCTTCGATGATCTTTTTGGCAGCTTCCGTCTCACTACTTAACGCAAAGAGCGCATTCAACGCTTTGGTCTCAGTGACTTGCGACACGTGGAACGCCTTCGCAAGGGCCTCAACAGCGCCTTCTTTAATCAATTCGTTCTTCAAATTGTTCTCCGCGTTTCCAGCCATAGCAATACCACATATAGCAGTCACTGCTTTTTCTTTAATCAATTTGTCGGTGTACTTCTCTAAACATTCGACAGTGTGTTTGGCCCAGTCTTTCTCTAAATACTGATCAATCCCATCAGATGAGGTGATGTTAATAACACAGACTAACGCCAATTTCACTATCTCTTCATCTTTCTTCTTCTTTAAAACTTCATCAATCTCTTTGGCTGCTCCTAACTTCATTAACTCAAGTGCTAATTCATCTTCTTGCGACATATTAAGTATCGCACTCAAACAAGACTTCACAACTTCTTCTTCGTCTTGATGCTTTTTGAACTCGTCGACGATATTCTTTGTGATCCCACTCTTCATGATCCCATCGCGGCCTTCTTCAAAGTCAGATATGTTCTGGAGATACCCACACCCTCGAGTTATGATCTTCTCGACACTCTCATACTTGTCCATCGCCTTTTTCACTTCCATAGTGATCACATCAGACTTCGCCATTTCCTTTGCGACCGTTTCGCATGTCGACAGATTCATAAAGTACCCAAGTGCTATTTTAGAGGCATCTTTAGACACAGCACAGAACTTTTGAACAACTACAGTGCACGTGTTGTGGACCTCCTCTTCCATCGAGTCCGTCTGTGAGAAGTTAAATAAAATCCCTAACAATGGGACAACTACCTCTTCACTCGGGTGAGTCTCAGCAATTGTTATAAATCTCTTAGACACTTTAATAAGATCTTCTAACACGCCAGTGTCATCAGAACTCAATGACCGGATGCCACTTAAGATCCTCGAGATGATTTGCACGTTACTCTGATGCGCCTCCAAAATCTGTAATATCGAGTCGATCCCATTGGCCGCTTGATACAACTTTTGTGTTGTCGATTCACCAGCTGCGTTACATAGAAACCCTCCAATAATACGCGCAAGAGCTTCATCCTTCACGGCGACTGGAGTGAGTCCAGCGATTTGCTTGAATATTTGAGTCTTCCCAAGTAACTTCACAAAGTCGTCATCTTCGGCCAACGTGAGTAAGGCACCAACGGCACTTGTCAGTGCAAATTCATTCTCTGTATTGAGAGCAGAAGAAAGCGCATTGGCTATTTGTGGATTGACTAACAAGTTCTTGTGTTGACTGTCAGCCATGCCCCAAATAGACCCCGATAAGACACCAGAGATCTCTGGGATGTCGCTGTACTTTTGTAACTGTGAAGCGACTATTGTCGGTAAACCACTTTTAACAGCAGAACTCTGCGCAGGCTCAAAGTTGGTGAGAAGACAACGAAGAGCAGCTCCTGCAGAACGGACGACGTCAGAGGATGTGCTTTGGATGTCACGAATAATCGACTGGAGCAAATTTTCTTCAAGACAGGATTGTTTGGACTCAGTCCCTTTCTCTTTGTCTTGACATTCACCAATTATAGAGTCGTACGTCTCAATGATGTCAGTCTCTTCTTTCAGCGTTAATAATTTCTGGCACAATTCACGGACCATGGGTTGCTAGTATTTTAAGTTCAATTCAAGTTGAAACGTCTGTTGTTTAATTGTGGATTGTATTAATGGGTTTTCTGGTTGGTCTTTTTAGGCACATTCCTCCTTACTTTACAAAATAGCACAGAAATTCGGTTTTTTGGAAGGAAAGGGTCTCCGTGGAGACATGAAAAGAAATAATGACGATTTGGTTTCAAGTTCAAATAAAGTCCAAAAAATCAAAAAATTCATAGAACAATTTCTTTTCATTTTTTTTTTGTTATAGAGACAAACTTCTTTTTGTGGAGATGAATCGTATTGAACCGGGTAATGAGTCATTTATATCTTGTGATGGGAGAAAAAAGAAGGATTTGCAAATGGAGTTTTTGCAAATAAGCAAATCACTTCACATTTGGGAATCGAGTTATTTGAAAGTGGTTAGTTGTAATATTTATTTAAAAGGAAATAATTTGATATTTGAAATACAACCAAAAGTGGGTTAAAATAAAGTTCAATACAAAGTTGAAGACACTTCAAAATCGAGCTACTAGTAAAAGTAGTAGCGATTATATGAAAAAGAATTAGATTGTTTTTTAGTCTTAAATCAGTATTTGCATAGAAGGTAATGAGTTCTAATATACAATTAAAGTCCTTTAAAGTCTTGATTATAAAATGATGTTAAAAATGAACTTATAATAACAAGTCGATTCATTATTGATTTGTGTTCTTATTTAATTGTTATTCTTTTCTAATTAAAAAAACATTAAATTTGATCAAAAAACAAATCAAAGATGTACTGTATTTAAAACGACAAAAACGTATCTGCGAAGCAAAAGAATACCGACGTCACACTCACGTCTATCAACACTCTAAATGAGATATATCCAATAGACATTATATTGAATAAAACAGTAAGTAAACAAGATAGACTATACAAGTAGACTGCATACGTGGAGTTCTATAAATAAATATTATTCTTTATAACAAAAAACTATAAATTAAATATAAAGAAACAAACAAGTAAGAATATTTTCCTCAAGATGGTATTCAAATACGTCGCAATGAATAAAGTCATCACAACATTGAACCCAACATTCCAGTAATTACAAACTGTTATTTGATGTGGTAATACAACAATCGAGTATATTAATGAATCTCTACACTTCGCAATAACACATGAAGACAGTAAGATAGCACCCCAAATGAAACTCGTCGACATATTACTTTGACTTTTGTTCTCTTCACTACTCTTTTCTTCTTTCAATAAATAGCAAAACGAAAGCATGTTCATTACATTCACTAGTACCTCCCCAACGCTTAACAGTACCACAGACGTCCACACGTTGTACCTCTGTTCTTCCTTTTCCTGAAAAACGTCCGTTATAAAAAGTATGACCAGAACAACGAATTGGAGTGTCCCACTGTAAATAATTACTTTATTATATTTTAACACACTTTGGCTGAAACACGCCAAGAAAAATCCACATAATGGTGTCGCTATAATATAACTCATTATAAAAAAGTGACTTGGACTTTTGAATGTGATCTCTGATACAAAAATGTACAAGAAAAAGGTTATTATAAACGCGGTGATTACAGCGAAGCCCTGGTGTTGCATCGCAAACCAAAATTCGCTGTGATTCGGTGCCACAAATATAGTTTTCATTTTAGTTAAATAAACTATATATATAATTCCAACGACGCAAAGCACAAAAAAATTTCGGATGAATAAAGAGACGAAGTACGTTGGTGAGTATACGAGTACTACATGAGAAGAATGTACCTCGTGCTGAAGTGAAGAGAAGTAAAATGTCACCTTTGAAACGTCGTCTGTCAGATTGAATGGTGTGGTAATAGTTTTGATTATAGTTTCGTTACTATTAGTTAAACCAGACACTGAGAGTGGGGTGATGGTGACTTTATTGACTGTAAACGCCTTGGTATAAACATCGAAGTGAAATGCGTTGTTAACAAAGTAAGTTTTGGGAGTTTTATAACCAAGTGGGATTCCGTATATGTTGATGTTTGAAGCGTTACAAATTTGACTTGACGCACTGAAGCCACCGACGTTGAAGTAAAGCCAAGTGTCTTGATCGATTAATTCTTTTAAGTCTCTGGAAGCTATTTCGTGGCATGTCACTGATTGTTTGAAAGCTGAAACATGTGGTGAAATTCCAAACAGTGTAAAAATGAGAGAGTTTGAAGGGAAGCATGGATATATTGATTGAAGTGAATGGTGCGTATGT